GTATTTTAAACTTATAGCACACAATTTGGACAGCCACATTTCAAGTCTCCAAAAGCATGTGTGACTAGTGGCTACTTTTGGGAATGTCTGATTCTATGTGTTAACTGAGTTGCTAGTAACACAGATGAACAGATTTATCAAAACTTATCAAACAGTGCCCTTAAGATCTATGCATTTTACTTTATATAAGTTATACGTCAGTCAACTTACATGGTTAAAAAATTTTTTTCATTTTGGAGAAAAAATAACCCAGTCTATGGGAAACTCTGTAGCACTAGCAATTTCTTAAACAAATATAAAGAAAAAAACTGGAGAGGATTTAAAAACTGTGGACTAAAATAACAATAAGAGATAGCAACTAATTCCAATATATGGATGTTATTTGGTTTCAGATCTGGACAAACTATAAGAGAGAGAGAAACAGAGAAAGGGGAGAAGGGAGGAAGAGAGAGAGATTTGGTGATATTAAGGAATTATTGGGTTTTTAAAACCTATTATATGTACCTATATTTATTTAAAAGAACCTTTATCTTTCAATGAAATAAACTGAAATATTGAGATAAAATAATAAAATATTATTACTTCAAAATAATTCAGAACATGGGAGGAGGAGAAAGAAGAAATAATATTGGCTATGAACTGGTATTTATTTTCCAAAATAAAAAGTTTTAAAAAATGAAGTTTGTTGGTTAAAAAAGTGGGAGAAATAAGAGCTACTCATCATTAATTAAAATAAACCTATATAGGAAGAATGAGAGATAGCCAACACTTCATTTCCTAGAATCATGAAAAAATCTCACCTTGTGCCCAACTCTTTAAAGACAGTGAAAAAGAAGTGACCCATAAATCTAGTATCTTATGAAAACACTTACTAGATGACATTTCATTTTATTATTTATTTTGTGGCATAAATGTCTCTTACTTTTGTAAATATGCTTTCTGCTCCTAAAATTCATCATTAAATTGTGAAGCCTCTTACAGATATTAGCAACATTCCCATTTCGTCAGGTTCCAAAAAGCATTTCTTAATTGGAAAAGTATGTAAAAAATTTCTTGGCTTTTAAAAATTCCAATCAACGTAGTCTTTACTTTGGCAGGAAAAACCAGTTTAAACTTCTATGGATGAGGAAACTCACCAATGAACTCCTGTACATTTCAAATTTGAAAGATTTCTTAGAAAATAATTTTGCTCATAGTAATACCCATTCTATCCTATCTTATCAATATGATTTATTTACTGATCAATTTCCCACTCTCATATAAACCCTCTGATCAATTTGCCTTTCTTTAAGCATCTTATACTTGCCATTAGCAGGAGTACTTCTAAAACGCTCTTGTTGTAGCATCCAATTGACAGCCTCTCTTTGGTATGGTCTCAACACAGGAGTCAGTGCAGGATGCTGGACATTCACGTGGATGGACTGTGTTTCTTGCTGATGCGTTCGTTTCACAAAGTGATAGAGCTCATCAATGTCCTGTCCCTCTGGCTCACTCTCTGAATCTTCCTCATCCTCTTCCAACACATCTGTACATCCAATAACAAATGTACTCAAAACAACGTGATCCACATTTATGACTATAAGCAATTCTTACTCCAAGAATACACCATGCACTCTCCCAACTCTGGGGCCTTGCTTAGTGTGCTTTCTGACTGGAAGGCCCTATTGTTAGTTCTTCACTGATCAAAAATCTACCCATCCATCCTTTCTTTATGATAATTCAACTGATTCTTTTTCTATGGCATTTTCTTCTGTTTTCCCTGGTCAGAATTAGTATTCTCCTATGTTCATGCAATAGTATACTTTGGATATAGCAATACATTGCAGTCTGTCTGGTAGCACAATCATTTGTGCGTATTCATCCCTTCTCCACTGAACTGAAATGCTCTTTGACAGCAAAGGCTGTCTTTTGTTTTTATAGCTCCTCAGAGCAGCTGGCATGTATTTTATCCATTGCAGATATTTAACAATCATCTGAGGAACTGAATGTGAATATCTTTTGCAGTTTATAAAAGGATAATTTATTTCACTTTTACATGTTAACATAAAATCTATATGCAGACAAAATTTTCTGTATCTAATAACACAAGGCTTCTCATTTTATTTCTTACACTAAAAAGCATAGGTATCTGGTAGTAGCAGCAGCCAATCAGAATATTAAGGGCTTAAGCCATCAATATAAATTTGTAAGAATTTCAGATTCATTTGTTGGGTACAATTGCCCTGTGGAAGAAGAATCACGCCTATTATAAAAAGAAAAACATTTTCAAACTCTTGAACTCATTTACAAACCCCTTTAGCCAATGGTTTATTTCTCAATGGTTTCAAATAGGTCTATACATATTTATAGGACACACCTCATACGCTCTAAAATGAAGACTACCACAAAATACGTAATTTACTTTTTTCAATTAAAAATATGCCATTAAGATTATGCCATGTAAGATTTTCAAAACTTTACAATTAATGTATAGTTATATATGCCTTGTTATTTCAGACTGTTACTATAGGTGTATAATCTAGTAATAACTAAATTTGAAGTTTTCTCTTGAAACCCTTTGAAGTTTTCCTTTGAAAAGTTCAAACTGTATTACTTTTAATAGGCAGAATAATGGAATTCTTATAAAACTCGAGATGTACTTAAAAGCATTCCTTCCAATTCTGAAACCAGTGATTTTCCTTAAGTCTTTAACATGCATTTACTATTATTATTATCATGAAGCTTTGCAAAGAACGTACTGCAGAAATAACTCAATAAACAAACTTAGAAACTGATTTCCCAAAGATTCCAGTATAAACATGTTCTATAATTTGCACCTGAAGTAAGGCTCACCCACCATGAGCAGGACTTGGAGAATTTGAGCCGTTTTTCCAATAGCGTTTGTTGATGGGCTGCATCAAGCCACCCACACTCTCCCTTGGGAACTAATGGCAGACAACTCTGAAACTGCAGTCCTGACCGAGGATGCAGCGCCTTGCCAAGAAATAGTAGTAAAGCTAACTGGTCTTTATGGGGAGCAGGCTCTTGAGATTATTTGCCAGACTGCAAAGGAGAGGTGGAATAAAGGCCAGCCAAGATTATCTGGCCATGACAAAATAAAAGCACAGGAATAATGCAAAAATTCCAATCAGCTCAGATCCCTTTAAATTCTGCCTA